GGCCTTTTAAGCCAACCTTAAGGAACCAAGTGTTCCGATTTCAACTCAAACTCTTCCAAATCCTGAACCAACCATCCCCGCAAGTCATAAATCAGTAAAAGCAAGTATGGGAAGTCTTATTTAGGTAAACGGGGCTCTAGAAAGCAAAACGACCAGTCGGGTCGTTATAAAATTGATGAATATTGATCCTATATAGGTAACTCAATAGATTATGAAACTCTACCATATAGAAGTCCTCAATCATCATTCTTTATATTCAACTTAAACTAAGTTTCACTTACTATAATTTCATCTGCTCAACTTCACAAGTAATCATGCTTCCCTTTTAGTTTCAGCATGAACATCATATTATTTAAAATATCTCATAAAAATTATTGTTGTTTAAGTAATCTAATTCCGAATTCAAAACTATCGCATTTTGTTTGAGCTTATTTTTTGAAAACTACATTTAGTTTAATATTTTGCGTGACATACTTTTATTGCAAATATTCAAATATTTGTCAAATAACATGAATAAAGAAATCGATAATTTTGGTGTTTTAGAAATTTTAAAGTGAAGGTTGGTCCTACAACTCCTTGAAATATACAAGCCAGTTTTTTTTTTTAATTATGAACCAATATTATACATAATAATTTGACATTAGACACATCTAATAAAAAAATCCAATAGAATAGTATGATGACCCTAAAGGTCATCTCTTGTTTTAGAAGTCAAAACTGTATTTCGAGGCCTTAAAAACCTCTTTTTGTCTCACCTCGATTTGCGTACACAGTTCGGGCGCGTTTCCGGAAAGCTTTTATGTGAAATTTAAGAAAAATAATTAATTTAGCCTTTTAGATTGATTAAATTTGACTTTGGTCAACATTCTTGGTAAACGGACCTGGACCTGTGATCCGACGGTCCCGTAGGGTCCGTAGTAAAATATGGGACTTGGACGTATGCCCGGAATCAAATTCCGAGGTCCCTAGCCCGAGAAGAGAATTTTTAAAGAAAATTGTTTGCTGGAAAATATATAGGTTTCTAGAAGTGAAATGATGCATTTTCTTGAAGGTATCGGGCTCGTATCTTGGTTCCGGAGCCCGGTACAAGTTTAAAATAATAATTAAGTTGAATCTGTAAAATTTGGTAAGAATCGGAATTGGTTGGTATAAATCGGACCTATAGTTGAGAAAATAGAAATTTCAATGCTCTTGAGTAATTTCATGAATTTGAGGTTTAATCGTAGTTATTGATGTTATTTAGATGATTTGATTGCACGAGCAAGTCCGTATGATGTTTTTATACTTGCGTGCATGTTTGGTTTGGAGCCCCGAGGGCTCGGGTGAGTTTTGGATAGGCCACGGAGTCAATTGGACTTAGGAAAAATTGCAGCTGGTGTCCGGTATTTTCTGCCCAGGCCTCTAATTGCGAGATCAGGCTTCGCAAATGCGAAGTTCTCAGGCTTGGGAAATGCGACCCAGGTGTCGCAATTGCGGACCAAGCCTGGGCAGGCCATTCTCGCAAATGCGATAATTTGGTCGCAAATGCGAAAGAGTCAGGGGTCGCAAATGCGACATATCCTTCGCAAATGCGAAGGTAGCAGACTTTTGAAGGGTTCCCAATTGCGAACCCCTGTTCGCAATTGCGATAACTGCACCTGCTAAATGAGATTTCAGACGGGATTTCCTTCATTTTTCAAACTCTTTCAAACCCTAAGCTCTCTTGGGCAATTTTCCAAAGAAAGGTTCTTCCACAAATCATAGGTAAACAACTTCTAACTTATTTTCTTCGATCTATAACATCTTTTTACATGGTTTCGATTCAAAATCAAGGGTTTTCATGGGGAATTGGGTGTTTTTGGGTAGAAGTTAGGATTTTCAAATTTTTGGGATTTGGACCTCAATTTGAGGTCCGATTTCAAAACTAATTACATATTTGAGTTAGTGAGTGAATGGGTGATCGAGTTTTGGTTCGAACTTCGGGTTTTGACCAAGCGGGCCCGGGGTCAATTTTTGACTTTTTGGAGAAAAACACTGGGAAATCTATTTTCATGCATTAGAATTGGTTTATTTAGCATATATTAATGTTATTGAGTAAATTGTGACTAGATACGAGCAAATTGGAAGTGGAACCGATAGGTAAAGCGGTAGTTGAGGCTTAATTTTGTCCGTGGATTCGAGGTAAGTGTTTGGCTTAACCTTAGCTTGAGGGAATAGGAGTTGTGGTCTATTCGCTATGTGTTTGTATTGAGTACGACGTATAGGTGTGGTGACGAGTATCTATAAGTTGGTGTCAAGCATGCCCGTGAGTCTTATACCATGATTGTCGTGACTCTATTATGTATCGATCATGCTCAAATTGATGATTGTTAATGTTGAACAAAGCTTATGAAAGTTTCTTGGTAATTGACTATTGTTGAGTATTGACTCAAATTGAAGTTTCATTTTGTAAAGAAATTGTTGAAACGAGATTGGTTATAGCTGAATCCCTTGCCGGGACGTTTTGTTGATATTGTTGATTCCCTTGCCGGGATATTATTGTTGATATTGTTGATTCCCTTGCCGGGATATTATTGATGATATTGTTGATTCCCTTGCCGGGACATATTATTTTCCATTGTTTGGGTGAGGAAGAGTGTAAAGCACGAAGGGTGATGCCGTGCATGATATTGTGAGAGAGTGTAAAGCACGAAGGGTGATGCCGTGCCGATATTATGAGTGTTAATGCATGAAGGGCGATTCCGTGCTATGATTTGAGAGTTAATGCACGAAGGGTGATGCCGTGCCGATATTGTGAGGAATAATGCACGAAAGGTGATGCCGTGCCATGACTATATGAGGTAATTCACGAAGGGTGATGCCGTGCCGTTTCTGTTGATTCATATGGTGAGGACGAGAGTAAAAGCACGAATGGTGATGCCGTGCACGTGTTACCGTGTCATTATTCTTGTTGTTATAGACATGATGTTCATTATGCTCTTTGTTGATGCTTGTTTATTGGTTTATTGTTAGAATCTGATATTCCCCGCAGCATGTCCCCTTCCCACCTTATTCTGTTGATTCCTATTATTATGATTCTGTTTGTATATGATTTAACTGCAAAGGTTTATATGATTGTCGTGTCCTAGAAATTCGTAGATGTTTGTAAATTTGTGACACCAGATTCGTGGGTAGACATGCATTGGAGTATTTGGACTTATTTTAACTCTTCCGCGCTTTTCATCGGTTTATCTTTAATTACTGCTTATAGTTGTTTGGGTTGATTTCTAATGTGTTAAAATCATAGTATTTGGCTTGCCTAGCTTTCACGAGTAGGCGCCATCACGACTCCCGAGGGTGGAAAATCCGGATCGTAACAAATAGTTGATGAGAACTTTAAACTTATATAAGTAATGATTAAAATATTATTTGACTTTACAATAAAAAAATGTATTGTTACACAAATAGCCATCCAAATTCATTGTTTACTTTTTCTAGCCGATACATAAATTATACATTTATTATGTATAGTTATACACATATTATACATTAATTATACATACATTATATATCCGCGGGCTATTTTTAGTCGAAGAGATTAGGTAGGCGGCTATTTGTATTAATTCTTCCTTAAAATAATACTCGCATTTAAAAATTCACAAATAACAATATTAGTTGATCTAAGAAGTCTCTTATAATGCAAAGAGTTTAACATCTAATATTACTTTTAACATGGTTAATATTATGTGTTTTAAATCATTTAACTTAAAAGTTCAACTTTTAACATAGTTTACTTTGCAAAATTATTGCTAAGGAAAGTATTTTTATAAGGATAATTTTAATTTCCTAAATATTAGGAGTTCCTATAGTATTCAAATAAGGAAAGATTTAATAGCCATAATTTTAGTTGATTTTAAACAACTCAATTTTAGAAAAATAATTAAATGGCTATTTTGTCTAATGTGAACTATATTTTAAAAGGGTAAAAAAGGCGAACGACATTTCGCTAAAGGCCTTCGTGCTTTTAATATAGTATATATATATATATATATATATATATATATATATATATATATATATATATATATATGTTCATCCTTATTCCTTTCATTAAGTTCAACTCGTGTCATCATCATTACCAAAATAAAAGAAAATGCAAGTAAAAAAAGATAATAATAATAATAATAATAATAATAATTTAGTAGTAGCAGCAGCAGTAGTAGTAGTAGAAGTTTTCTACCAAGTCTAAGACCTATTCCCAACTAGTAGGTATCACCTATATGAATTTTGTTCTTCCATTCCGCCCTATCTTTAGCTAAAGTTTGCATTGATTCCAAGGATTTGTGGGTCTTTCGAGACAACTTTCATCTACCTCGTTTCCTTTTAACACCTTCCTCCACCATAGTTTCACACCTACGGACCAGTGCATCTGTAGATCGATGCAAGAGATGACAAACCATCTCAGACCTTCTCTCATTTTATCCTTAATGTATGTGTTAAGATTAATTATATTTTTCACTTGTTTATATAGTCAGTGTATCATTGTTAGCTTAGTTAGAGAGTTAGTTAGTGGTCAGTTTGGACAGTTGTCAGTTAGCTGCCGGTTAGTTGGTTAGCTTAGCTCCTTCTCCTTTCATACTTGCATATAGTGGGTGGAGTCCTATTAGTTTCACTGAGTCTTTGAATGAATGATATCAAAATTCTCTTCCAGAATATTCTTCTCCTCTCATCGAACGACTTCGAATCCATAGGACTGAGCTTCCGCCATTGTTGCTGCTGCATTCTTAGCTCAGCTAAGGAGGAAGCTATTGTTCCATTGCTGGAATTTGATATGGTATCAGATCAAGGTCAGAAACTCCGATTCATTTTTCCAGATCTGTTGAATCTAATTTCGTGATTCTCGATTTTGTTTTGATCGTGTGCATGCAGTCCTTGATCTCATCGATTTCAATACATTTTCCTTAAAATCCTTCATCAGAGTTCTATTTCTGTAGTTAGAATCCTGTCCTGATTGATTAGTTGAGTTTTACGCCTTATAAGAGATGGCTACTGATGGAGATGTTGAACAACCTGCACCAACTGTGGCTGAATCTCCTAATCAACCAATTGTTGATACTAGTAGTCCTTTTTACATGCATCCCTCTGATAATCCGGGAATAGCCCTAGTTCCTGTTCCATTTGATGGATTTGTATATCACTCATGGAGAAGAGGTGTAATGAGAGCCCTATCGGTGAAAAATAAACTAGGCTTCATCGATGGTGACTGCAAAAGGCCAGATCCAGACTCTTCAAGCTATCGATTGTGGGAGAGATGTGATGATATGGTGAGTTCATGGATTTTGAATTCCTTGGCAAAGGAGATTGCAGACAGTGTTGAATATGTGACAGATGCAGTGGAGTTGTGGAAAGAGCTAGAAGATCGATATGATCAGACAAATGGAACAAAGCTCTACCAAATTCAAAAGGAGATTAACGACTTGTCTCAAGGAGCACTTGACATTACTGGCTACTATACAAAAATGAAGAAGCTGTGGGAGGAACTCACTACTCTAATTACCAAATCTCATTGCACCTGCAATTGCACATGTGGAGCAAGGGAAAGTATGCACAAAGCAGAACAAGATAGAAGATTAATACAGTTCCTTATGGGGCTGAATGAGACCTACACTGTTGTTCGAGGAAGTATCCTCATGATGAATCCTCTTCCAACAATTGCACAGGCCTTCTTATTACTGATTCAAGAGGAAAGACAGAGAGAAATTAAGCCTCATAACTACTCAGCTCTTGAGTCATCAGCCCTAAATGTCAACACAAACAGGACAACATCATTAAAGACAAATTATTCACCTAATTACTCTCAAAGCTATAGAAACAACCCTTCAATTGTACCATCTACCCAATGGCCAGACAGGAAAGACTTCCATTTCCTCAGAAAACTAATACAACCAATAGGATTTTTGAGCTTCTACATGTTGACTTATGGGGACCATATCATCTGCCCACACATGACAAGTACAAATATTTCATGACTATTGTGGATGATTTTAGTAGGACCACTTGGATTCATCTCCTATCCAGTAAAAGCAATGCTTATCAAGTTCTTAAAGGATTTTTTAATTTGGTGGAAAATCAATTTGGAGTAAATGTTAAAGCTGTGAGAACAGACAATGGACTGGAGTTTATCAACACAGAGACAAACATGCTATTTCAATCCAAAGGCATCATACATCAAAGAACTTGCCCTTACACTCCACAACAAAATGGGGTGGTGGAGAGAAAATATAAATACCTCCTTGAAACAGCTAGGGCTCTCCTCTTTCAGTCTAGATTGCCCCAAAAATATTGGGGTGAATGCATACTCTGTGCAACCTTCATTATAAACAGGTTGCCTTCCACTTCTATCAATGATCAAACTCCATATGAACTGTTATACAAGAGAAAGCCAAAGTACTCTCACCTAAAGAGCTTTGGGTGCCTGTGCTACCCCACTGTACCTAAGCCTCACAAGGACAAGTTTGAACCTAGAACAACACCACATGTTTTTGTTAGCTATCCTTTCAACACAAAGGGATACAAAGTTCTAAGTCTGGCTACTAGAAAAATCACTGTTTCCAGAGATGTAGTCTTCAATGAGTATATCTTTCCATTTGCAACTAATTTGGATATGTCTCCCCAATCTAGTGTCCCTCATTCAATTCCTTTCATTGAACCTCTATGTGAGAAACGTTCTGACAGTACAAATATTACACAGCAAACATCTGAACATTTGAGTGTTCAAGGGAGTAATGTTGAGAACACAACTAATCTCATATCACCTACACATGATCATTCTTCATCCATGTCACCTAATTCTCCAGCACAACTTTCATCACAGGATTATACTGAACAATCTCATGCAGAACCTATACAAGTGAGATAGTCATCAAGAACACACAAGGCACCTAGTTATCTACAAGACTATGTACATTCCCTACCTAAACTTAAACCAAACACCAACTCCCTTAGTGCACTGTTTTCTGTAAATCACCATGTTGCCTATGATCTACTAACTCCTAATAGTCAAGTTCTTGTGAGAAATATTTGTCATGACAGGGAACCATCATCATATGAGGAAGAAGCCATTGATTTTTCATGGCAAGCTGCAATGACACAGGAGTTTGAGGCTCTATATTCCAATCATACTTGGGACCTGGTAGCTCTACCACCAGGAAAACAAGCAATAGGATGCAAGTGGGTTTACAAAGTGAAGCATAAAGCTGATGGTAGTATAGAAAGGTTCAAGGCTAGATTGGTTGTGAAAGGCTACACACAACAGGCAGGAACTGATTACACAGAGACATTCTCCCTAGTAGTGAAGATACCAACAGTGAGAGCATTAATAGCCACAGCAGTGAAGAAAGGCTGGTGCATATCTCAGCTAGATGTAAACAATGTCTTCCTCCATGGAGACCTTAATGAGGAAGTATATATGCAAACCCCTCCTAGGCTTGTTGTGGACAAACCTGGACTAGTATGCAAACTAAACAAATCTCTCTATGGTCTAAACAAGCTAGTCGACAGTGGTATGCAAAATTGCTTGAGGCTTTATGCTCAAAAGGATATACACACTCCATGAATGATTATTCACTTTTTTATAAGAAAAATGGAGATTCATTGGTATATGTTGCAGTATATGTTGATGATGTGTTGCTTACTGGAACTGATCAAGAGGATATCACACGGTTGAAAGACTCTTTGCATAAGCAGTTTAAGATCAAAGATCTGGGGCAATTGCACTTTTTTCTAGGGCTGGAAGTGATGTACAAGGATGATGGTGTGATAATTTCTCAAAGGAAGTTTGTGCTGGACATGTTAAAGGGGTATGACTGCCTAGACTATAAGTCTTGTTCCTCACCTTTAGACCCTACAATAAAGCTAAAGGCTAAAGAAGGTGCCATTCTACAAGATCCTACATACTACAGGAAACTGGTAGGAAAGCTAAATTTCTTAACCAATACTAGATTGAACATAGCATATAGTGTTCATCACCTGAGTCAATTCATGCAAGAGCCCAGAGAGCCACATTTGAAGGCAGCTTTCCACCTGCTTAGGTATCTGAAAAGTGATCCCACTCTGGGAATCTTCATGTCCAAAGATGCAGATTGTACAGTCAGAGCATATTGTGACTCTGATTGGGCTAGTTGTCCAGATTCTAGGAGATCCATCACAGGCTATCTGGTGCTTCTAGAAAATAGTCCTGTTAGTTGGAAGTCCAAGAAACAGGAAACTATATCACTATCTTCTGTAGAATCAGAGTACAGGGCTTTAAGGAAAGTAGCGGGGGAACTAGTATGGTTGAGCAGGTTGTTTGAAGAACTAGTGTCCCCTTTCCAATGCCTATTTCAGTGTATTGTGATAGTCAATTTGCACTTCACATTGCCAAGAATCCAGTCTTCCACTAAAGAACCAAACACATAGAAGTGGACTGTCACTTTGTGCGGGATCAATTACAAGCAGGGTTAATTTCACTCCACCACATTGGTATAGATAGTCAACTGGCAGATATTCTGACTAAAGCCTTAACTGGAATCAAACATGGTGCCACATTACGCAAGTTGGCTGTGTTTGCAACACCTCCAACTTGAGGGTGGTGTTAAGATTAATTATATTTTCCACTTGTTTATATAGTCAGTGTATCATTGTTAGCTTAGTTAGAGAGTTAGTTAGTGGTCAGTTTGGACAGCTGTCAGTTAGCTGCCGGTTAGTTGGTTAGCTTAGCTCCTTCTCCTTTCATACTTGTATATAGTGGGTGGAGTCCCATTAGTTTCACTGAGTCTTTGAATGAATGATAACAAAATTCTCTTCCAGAATATTCTTTTCCTCTCATCGAACGACTTCGAATCCCCAGGACTGAGCTTCCGCCATTGTTGCTACCGCATTCTTAGCTCAACTAAGGAGGAAGCTACTGTTCCATTGCTAGAATTTGATAGTGTGCTACTTGCACCTTCTGGCGAATGCGGTCATTTTTTAATCTAATCTAATCTTATGTGACCGCACATTCATCTTAGCAAATATTTCTGCAATACTCATCTTATGGATATGTAGAATTTTAGCAGCCCAACATTCACTACAATATAACATAGTTGGTGTTATAGTTTTTCTATAAAACTTACCTTTCACCTTGGTAGGCATCCTCCTATCATATAACACCCCGTTAGCACTTATATATATGTATTGAATTCTTGAAGTTTCAAAAGAGTGTCAAATTTTTTATATGTCTAAAATAAAAGAAGAGTGTCATATAAATTGAACAGAAGAAGTACTAGCTTTTTAGGCCAATTATGAAAGTAGAAGAAAAATATATAGACAACTGATAAAACAATGATCTTCATCTCCCTTTCTTAAATTATTTTGATCATTCTACTATAATGCATAATATCTTTTGTAGGACGTTAGATTCTTTGATCTTCTTTATGGTTGCATAGGATTCTAATCCCACATGTGCATAACTGGAGCAGGAATACAAGCCCTTATGATACTAAGTGGCAGATTCTTTCGATTACCAAATGATTTGCCTAAACCTTTCTGGATACACTACATGGCATTTCATAAGTATGCTTATGAAGGGATGTTCAAGAACGAGTTTGAAGGGCTAAAAATTCGCGATGATCAACACAATAAGGGTGAAATTCAAATGATCTCTACCTATAGTTGCTTTCTTTTATTTTCAAAGCTCATATTAGGAAAGTGTAAAATAATCGGCTACTTTCACCTTGTCATAACCCGAGTGAGTACCATTTAAAATGACCCTCCTATTGAAACTTACACTTTGAAATTTGAATAGTTAAAGACTCATGTAGAAGTATAAGATTTTGTGAATAAACCCCAACAAAAAATTTACTTGTCAATAAAAGTCATGTACACTCTTAACTTTTGGAATTGTCATGTTTCTTTGTGTTATTATGTTATTTATTAATTTATATTATAATAAAAATCAAAGATTTATGGGGAAGTGTACAAACAATCATTCTTAGGACTATTATTTAGGAATTAGCTAGTAAAGCTTTGTCCTAAAAATCTAAACTAAAAATCTTAATTTCAAGATAATTCAGGACATTCGTGTTCGAAAAAATTAAACCGAAAAAATGAAATTTAGGACAAATTGGTTAATTCCTAAATCGCAGGCCTTTAGAGTGGCTATCTAGTGAATGACACCAGGTAGCCACTTTTAAGCATGATGTTTAAAATAGGATTAGTTACCTCCTATAGCAAAGGTTGATACCTTATTTATTTTAAAATAAATACCCTTTTAAAAAGTTATATTCCATAGCTACCTTTTGATTTTTTATAGCCAAATATCTATTTATGGTCACTTCCTACCCTTAAGCCATAAAATAAGCTTTGTATTATTTTTCTCTCTCATATCCCCTCAAATTTCTCCTATCCCCTACCCCATATCTATTCTCCCCCCCCCCCTCCCTCCTCTCTCTCTCTCTCTCTCTCTCTACTTCCCGATGTCTTCTCCTTCGCCGGACGCTGGAGCAATTGCCACCGTCACCGTTTCGACCGTGGCCGTTATTTATTAATATCGCCGCCCTCAGCCTCCCAATCTCATTCTCTGACGCAACATATCGGATCAACAAAAACCTCCGTTATTTCACCGGTAATTACGTGCTAATCGTCGGCAACCAGAGGCAATGGTGACGGCGAGCGAGGACTGGATACTGATGCTGCTTCAACGAGGCGACATTAGGGTTGTTCTTGAACAAAGACGACGGAGTTGGGGGTTGAGCAACTTGAATTTTCTGTTAATATATTTCAATGTATTTCAATGTGTCTCGTTGTATTTCATTGTATTCATTGTCTTTTTTTTCATTGTATTACAATGTATCTCGATGTATTCTATGTATTTCATTGTATTCATTGTCTTTTTTATCATTGTATCTCAATGTATCCCGCTGTATTCTATGTATTTCATTATATTTACTGTCTCGCTATATTCTATGAATGTATTCATATGTTTTTTTTAATTAATTTAATTTATGTATTCAGATGTATTATATAATTTCTCTAAAGATTGCTATATTTTGGGGTGCTTTTCGGTTGAGAATCTTTTTTATAACTGGAAATACAAAATTTGTGTGTTATAATTGAGTTATATTAGGAGTCTATTATGTTAATTGATTCACTTTCCATTTAAAAACAGTGTAATCCTCTGTTTCACGCCGTGAATACAGTCGAATACAATAATCTGTCCAGCTGTAATCCCATGTTTCACGCCATGAATACAGTCGAATACACTCGAATACAAAAATCTGTCTAGTTGTAATCCCCTATTTCACGCCTAGAAATGCTACTGTATTCATGAACACAGTAGCTTAAATACATCGAATACACTCTAAAAAATCTGAAAACATAGCTATAGGAAGTAATATAGTAAATGGTAGCTACAACTAGCTAATAACCACTAAAACATAGTGGTTTCTGAAATTTTCTCTTTAAAATATATCCACAGTTTACAATGTATTTAAAGATTAGCCAATTTGCTCAAGGTTCAAACTTCAGGACATCGTGTCCTAAAGTTCAAAATTTGTGTCCAGAAATTCAAATCTTATGTCGTGAATTCTAAACTAGCGGGTCAGAAATTCAGCACCCTTAGTCTTGAATTTTAGATTAGTAGTGTAGAAATTCAGGACACTTTGTCCTGAATTTCAAATTAGTAGCTCAAAATTTAGGACACTAAGTACTGAATTTCAAATTAACGGCTCAAAAATTCATGATAATTAGTCTTGAAGTTTGAGCGAATTGGTTAATCTCTAAATACACTATAAATTATGGATATATTTTAAATAGTTTGGTGTGGGATAATACTGGGTATGTCATTGTTGTATTTTAAATAGCAGGCTTAACACTTTACCCGTTTTGGAGCATAGAGATTAAATAAATCGCATAGCTTCACGCCTCCGCCTTTTAAAACAGTAAAGTGGGGGTTTGGGGTTTGGGTTGGGGGGTGGGGGGGGGGGTTGTACAAACACTTAATTTTAGTGGATTGTTGGACAAATTTTAGATTGTAGAAGGAAGTTGTAGCTTAAGGGAAAATGCACAAGCTTAACAGTCAGTGTGTTCATCCAATCCTATTATTTACATTGCCACAAATTTATGAAATTCTTGTACCATCATAATCATCAATAAGGATTTATATAGTAGTGTGTGTATCACGTTGATGTTGCTGCCCATTTTCGTTTGGTCATACGATTTTCTTTGAAGTTTTTTTAATAAAATTAATTTTAGTCTAATTGCAAATCTATTTCTAACTCACTTATGAAGAGTTGCATAGAAGATTTTTTTGATAGTTCTAGCACACATCATCCTTTTTTGCTGTTTTTACTTTTTTCATAAGTGGTGATTTTTAGTACAAATTGCCCTCTCCAATTATGCTTGTTCATAGTTAGGGTCTGGAGGAGGTAGAAGTTTAGAGGAGTTCGGTCGAATTAAGTAGCTTTAGTTCAAACAGTGTGTATTAAAAGATTCCTTCTTACTTGAATGGGCAAGATTTTTCCAAATATATATATATATATATATATATATATATATATATATATATATATAATTTCAAGAACGCATTAGAAAAGTTGTGGAGGAAAAGATTATAATTTTTCAACTTAATGAGCGTTTGAACATAAGAATTATAAAATTCCGGAAAAAAGTAATTTTTTTTTTCAAGTGAAAATGGTATTTGAAAATTAGAGTTGTGTTTGGACAGAATATAATTTTGGACTGTTTTTGAATTTTTATAAGTGATCTGAAGTGAAAATTATGAAAAATAGTTTTTCGGAGTTTTTTAAATTTTCGAAAAATTCCAAAATTTATCTTCAAGTGAAATTTTGAAAAATTTATTGCCAAACACTGATTTCGAAAAAAAGTGAAATTTTTTCGAAAAAAATTAAAAAAAAAAAATTATGGCCAAACAGGCTCTTACTTTAACATGTTTAGAGCATATGGATATTTATAAGCGAACTACAACATGTATATAGACTAGTATATACATGTCTGTCTTCTCATTTCCCCAAGGTATATAAATAAACTCACTGAATTAATTCTAGAGTCAAAACTTCAGTATGAAGTTCAATTCTCTCGTTAAAATAGGATAAAAGGGACCTTTTAAAAAGTGGAAATTTTTCTAAATAATGCCCTTTATAAGGAACAAGGAAAAAGGAAATTTTGAAAAAAGAAAATTGAGCTGCCACTTGATGACAAAGATATAAATCCTATGAAGCTGTGATCATTAGTTTAAATTCTTTATAAAAAAGAAAATAAAACTATAAGGACAATGTTTTCAAATAATTACAAACGCTCAAACCGACCACCAAAGGGTGACTATCAAGTATTAGGGCTCGTGTGGTACGAGGGAAAAAGAAAAGGATAATTAATTTTAGGATTAAATTAAAATGAGATTATCTCATTTTGGTTGGGACAAAATTGCGGGGTAAACTAATACCGAAATTAGTTATTCCGGGATTGTAGTGTTTATTTATCCCAATTTCGGGATAACTAATTCTAGGATAACTTGTTTCCAACCAAACAATCCTTAATATCTTAATTATCTCTCCTTTTTTTTTTTGTGACTAATATATCTTAATGAAAATCTATTGTTGATGAAAGTCACTTGTACAATAGACGTGGATTTAACGCTCATATCTTTTTCTCCTTTTCCTTTTCTTGAAGGGTACGATGAAACGATAATAGGTTTCGTGTGCGAATTTGGTATAGAGAGGCTAATTGCATGAACGGATCTAGTATTGTAGATTTGTGTTGTCCATTTGAACTTATAATTTTAACTTAGAGCTAGATTATTTGTGTAAAACTCCCTGAAATTGCTGCAATTATTAAACTATAAACTCATAACTCAAATAAAGTATTGCTTTTAAATTGGAGATTTGAAAATGAAATCCTCTAAACAAAAAGGCTAAAATTAACGATTTGAGTTCAAATTAATCGGAACACTGAATACTCAAAGAAGACAAAAGAACAAACATTGTCCTCTCGCTTCACCCAAAAATTTAAATGGAAAACCAAAGTCTTTTCATGTACTCCCGCATCTCCCTTCTTAAAAGAAAAAATAATTTAGTGCACAAAATATTTTATATACATGCAAAGTTCGAAAAAGGGCCGTATTTAAGAAGTGTAGTATAGGCAATCCATCCTGATGCAAGTTTTCGTGACTGTTTCCACGACTCAAACATATCTCCCTTCTATTTCGTATTCATACAGGGTTCGTTAAATGGCCGTACCCAAAAAGTATAATATAGACAGTCTATCCTGATCCAAAGCATCTTCTAATCCATATTCACGCAAGGTTCGAAAAAAAAATCGCACCCAAAAAGATATAACGTAGGCGACTTACCCTAATGGAAGCATCTCATGCAGCTCGAACATACCTCCCTTCTTCTTTGACCAAAATACCAAACACATTATTCTAATAACAAACCACCTAACTCCCCCCCCCCCCCCAAACTCACAACCCCACATCTCCATTCTTCCTATATTTATGCACCCACCACCCTAACATCCCAACCCCCCTAACCATCAATGGCTTTCCACCACCACTACCTTCTTCTCCACCTGCTCCTACTCTTAACTTCCCTTACCTTCACTTTCTCAGATGATGCTTCTGTTATGTCAAAACTTCTTTCATCTCTTTCTCCACCACCTTCTGGTTGGTCAACTTCTCAACCTTTCTGTTCTTGGAAAAATGTCAACTGTGATAAATCTTCTACTACTGCAACTTCCATTAATCTTGATTCTCAATCAGTTTCTGGTTCTTTACCTCCTGAACTCAACCAACTTTCCAATCTTAAAACTCTTTCTGTTCAAAACAACCAACTTTCTGGTCCTTTACCTTCTTTTTCAAACATGTCAAACTTAGCTGAAATTTTCTTGGACAATAATCAATTCACTTCTATTCCTCAAGATTTCCTTTTTGGGGTTCCAAATTTAGTAACTTTAAGTATTAGTGAAAATGGAAAGCTCTCTTCTTGGCAAATTCCTATGTACTTAACTGAAAGTACAAATTTAGGGTCTTTTTATGCTAGTAATTCCAGTATTATTGGTGTTATTCCTGATATTTTTGATTCTTTTCCTAATTTATTGAACTTGAGATTGTCTTATAATAATCTTACTGGTTCTTTGCCTGCTTCTTTTAGGGGTTCTGAAATTAGAAATCTTTGGTTGAATAATCAGCTTAAAGGGTTATCAGGTACTATTAATGTGATTGAAAATATGACACAATTGTCTCAAGTTTGGTTACATGCTAATTCTTTTACTGGTAGTATACCTGATTTGTCAAATTGTGAGAGTATATTTGATTTGCAATTAAGGGATAATCAGTTTACTGGTGTTGTTCCTGAGTCTGTTATGACTCTTCCCAAATTGTTGAATATTACTTTGCAGAATAATAAGTTGCAAGGTCCAATGCCTCAGTTTAAAGATGGGGTTAAGGTTAATCTTGGAACTACTAATAGTTTTTGTAAAGATAGTCCTGGACCTTGTGATCCACAGGTTACTGCTCTTCTTGATGTAGCTGGTGGTTTTGGATATCCGGTCGCGTTGGCCGAGTCTTGGAAAGGGAATGATGCTTGTAAAGATTGGAGTTTTATAAGTTGTGATACAACAAATAAGAATGTGACTGTTGCTAACTTAGGTAAGCGGGGGTTTTCGGGTACTATTTCGCCTGCTTTTGTGAAATTGACTTCTTTGAGGAACTTGTTTTTGAATGACAATAATCTTACTGGTACGATTCCGGAGAGCTTGACAACTTTGCCTAATTTACAAGTTCTTGATGTATCTAATAACAATTTGTCTGGTCCTATACCAGTCTTTCCGGCTAGTGTGAAATTTACTCATACCGGTAACTTATTGCTTGGGAAGAATATAAGTACTGGTGGTGGGGGAAGTGGATCGGGAGGTTCCGGATCAAATTCTGGTAGTCCTGGTGAAAATTCATCGGGAGGTTCAAAGAGGTCTTCAGTTTCAGCTGGAATGATTGCCGGTGTGGTTATAGCCGCTGTTGTTTTCGTTTTAGTTTTGTTGTTTGTGTCTTACAAATGTTACTTGAAGAGACGCCATAAGAGATTTGGAAGGGTTGAGACTCCGGAGAAAAGCAATGAAATGGTTAAGTCTAGTGTGCCTAGTGTTGTGGGCGGTTCAAATGGATATACCGGAGTCCCTAGTGAGTTACAGAGTCAGAGCAGCGGTGATCATAGCGAGATACCAGTTTTTGAAGGCGGAAATGTTGCTATTTCTATCCAAGTCCTTCGGCAAGTGACAAACAACTTCAGTGAAGAAAATGTCTTGGGGAGAGGAGGGTTTGGAGTTGTTTATAAGGGCGAATTACACGATGGGACTATGATCGCGGTGAAGAGGATGGAATCTGGGCCAATGGGTAATAAAGGAATGAATGAATTCCAAGCAGAAATTGCGGTTCTTACCAAAGTCCGGCATAGGCATTTGGTTGCTCTACTTGGTTCGTGTGTAAATGGAAATGAGAGGCTTTTGGTGTATGAGTATATGCCGCAAGGAACTTTGAGTCAGCATTTGTTTGAATGGAAAGAACTCGGCTACAAACCTCTTACTTGGAAAGAGAGGGTGACAATAGCGTTGGATGTGGCGAGAGGGGTTGAATACCTGCATAGCTTAGCTCAACAAAGTTTCATTCATAGAGATTTGAAACCCTCAAACATCCTTCTCGGAGATGACATGAGAGCCAAGGTTGCAGATTTTGGTTTGGTTAGGAACGCCCCTGATGGGAAATATTCTGTTGAGACACGATTGGCTGGAACTTTTGGCTATCTTGCACCTGAATATGCGGGTAAACATTTCCGCTCCATGTCTCATTACATCTTTTTTATCTGAAAACTGATTTGCATGCCCCTAATCTAAAGCTGTAGATTTTAAGCAAAATTAAAAAGTATCCGGTCATCAGCATTCATAGGCGTTGTTATCTTCATTACGTTAATGACACAAGGATATAATGTTAGTAATAATCAAGTGATTTCGATACATAAATGCTGCTTTGTCATTAGTCCTAATTGGTAACCAGAACATGATTCTCGTCTTGACGCGAGTTCTACATCTAAAGACTCTCGTTGGCAGAGTAATGGCTTGTTGCTTACATGTTTGTACTTGTTTTGTCTTGTGCTCTTGCATTCCACTACCTTTAATCTTATGTTTGTTTCTTAGGATATCTATATGCTATTTTTACAAAAGATAATTTTCAATCTCATATGAATCGACACTTAAGTTATTCCACTACATCTCCTTTTTATTACAGCTACTGGACGAGTCACAACCAAAGTAGATGTTTATGCCTTCGGGGTTGTTTTGATGGAGATCATTACCGGTAGAAAAGCATTAGACGAGACCATGCCAGATGAGAGGTCTCATTTGGTGACATGGTTCCGCAGAGTCCTTATCAGCAAAGACAACCTACGAAAGGCTATTGACCCGATACTAGATCCTGATGATGAAACATATGAAAGCATTTCCAAGGTTGCTGAGTTGGCTGGCCATTGCACTGCTCGTGAACCTTTTCAGCGGCCTGATATGGGACATGCTGTTAACGTTCTTGGTCCCCTTGTAGAGCAGTGGAAGCCTACAAGAAATGAAGATGACGACGGCTATGGCATTGACCTAGATATGAGTCTTCCTCAAGCCCTTCAAAGGTGGCAAGCTGATGAAGGAACTTCAAGAATGTTCGATGACTTCTCGATCAGTGACACACAGTCGAGCATACCCTCAAAACCTTCCGGATTTGCAGATACTTTCAGTTCAACAGATTGCAGATAAAATTTTGGTAACAGGTCGAGCCATGCCATGCCTCGGACGGTTTTAATCCTATGTGGATCAACATACAGTATGCAAATTCATTTGATTAATTGGTTTCTTCTTGTCAATGTCATTTGCTTCTTATGTAGTTACATCCCCTTTTGTAACAAAGTTATATTATAGTCTAGACTAGATGCAAGGTGTGGTAACAGAAGGTTCAAGTCAGGTGAATGTAACTTTTTTCTTTTGCTTTTTTGGGAGAGACAGAAAATTGTATCAAATTCTTTCATATATTGTCAATGTAAATAGAATTGAGCTTCATATTTTCTTTATACCTTGTGTTAATCCAAGATTTGATTTAGTTTACACTATTAGCTAACATGGTAGTACTTATTAAGTCCTATGTTAATTCGTGTAAGCCCGGTGCACAAAGCATTTCGCATTCATGCAGGATTCGGGAAGGGGCCTTACCCAAAGGGATATAATGTAAGTAGCCTACCTTGACGCAAGCATCAATGGCTGATTTCACGGCGTGACTGTGACCTATAGGTCACACTGGGATAACTTTACCCTTGCTTCAAGGCTCCCCTTCTTCCTATGTTAATTGGCATTAGTTAAAATAATTAATTCACGGTGCACAAAATATTCCTCATTCATGCAGGGTCCAGGGAAAGGGCCGCACCCAAATGGTGTAATATAGGCAGTCTACCTTGACACGAGCATCAATGATTGATTTCACGGCTTGAACCCGTGACTTATAGAATGTAGGCAACATACCTTGCCACAAGCATCAATGGTTTATTTTACGGCTCAAACCCGTGACTTATAGGCCACACTCAAAACAACTTTACCATTGCTCCAAGGTCCTCTTCTTCCTATGTTAATAGGGATTAGTTAAAATAATTAAATCTATTCTCTGAGAGAAAGTTGCATAAATTTCCTGATTTATTTATTTTCTTTTTCGAGAGGGTTCTTGTCTTTTCTTGAAGATATGATTTTTCAGAACCACAAAGATTTCTGTAGGTTAAAACAAATTTTTGCTGGATCTATGCTGTCATACTGACCTATATTCTTCTGTTTTTCTTGATTGGTTTCTTATGCTGTTGTTGAAAATAATAATAATAACAATAATAATAATAATAATAATAATAATAATAATTAAAGGGGTTTGTAATTTGAGGTCATATTTCACATGGAGATGACAGAAAGAATATTTGTTGAGACTTTTGTTATTTAATTATTATTTATTTATTGGATCTTTTTTTTTTGGGAGTTGTGGTGCACATGTAGTGGGGACCTTTTGTCAATCTTTGTAGGTCGGTTATTGTTAGGAATTGATGGCTTTAAAATATGTAATATTATAACTAAAATACCACAAAATATATTATTGGTATGATAATGACAGCGCATTAAGGTTGAATATATATTTTCTTTTGGTTTGTAAGAAGAGTTAATTTTAAAGATTAAAGAGACACAACATATATCAACTGAAATATCTTTCTTTTTTTCTGTTCCCCCCCCCCCCCCCC